ACCTAGTTATATGTATCTTTAATCAAAGAATAAATCTGGGTGATCAAAAAATTTCAGGTTTTAAGTAAAATAATTTTATCTTCTATGAAAAACTATTTCGACTTTTTTTTCTGAAATTACAATTTCGGGGTCCCAAAATAATTTTACGTGCAAGTATAGTCGAAATACCTCAAAAATCTAAAATCAATTTTAGGAACATGCTATTGATCCTGTTTCTCTATTTTATATATATATGTATATATATTTAGTATAACTTATTTTATTATTATTTTATTATTATATTAGCATTTTATATATATATTATTTTATATATTTTTAGTTTAGTATATTCTTGTATCACATTTTAATTATTAATATTTATTGTTTATATAATTTGAGTAACAGAGATAAAATACTTCTGATGTGTAATATTACATGATGCGAAGTAAAATACCTCTAGTAGCTACCGGTAAAATACTTAGATAAAATATTTTTATCATTAATAATCATGCTGTAATGTTATAGAAACTTCTAAAGTTTTCTTGAAATTAGTAATTATAGTTTACGATACAATTATAATTTTGTATAAATAAAAGTTGTTTCTGCTCCTCTGAAAGGAATAGTTAATATAGAATTGAATATTCTAATAACTCAAAATAAAAACATTATTTATAAACTAATATCTTTCTTAATGAATCATATAGTTTATATTGTGACTTTCTTAATGAAAACCCTCTTGTTAATTGTCTTGCTTTGTGATCTTAACAATTCTTATTATCATTACTCGCTTTTTAATAATAAGAATAATTATTGATTAATAATATCCTACTTTGTGATCTCGGTATTATAATTACTTAAAATTTAACCTTGCTTTATGATTTAGGTTAAGTTATTAAGTTCTTTGCAAGTTTGTTTAGTTTCTTGATAAAATTTTGTTGTCTTTGTGACTTATAATAATAGTTAGTTAGTAAATTCCTATAAAACCTCATACCCTTAGTTTCTTTTAACCAAATTTGCATTATCCAAATACTTCTTGTCATTATTTTATTTACAGTAATACCTGTCTAGTTGTAGTTAATTGTTATAGTGTTTAAAGTCTATAAATACAATTTTCACTATCAATCATTTAATTTTCTTTGATTTGTTTAGAAAGTAAACCAAAGTTAACAATGTATAATTGCAATTATGTCACAATATTACAATTATGGTACAATTATATTATTAATGTAATTATATATAAGATCAAAAATAATTATTGATAGTTATTATATATAAAACTTTTTAGTTTATCAAGAATAAATTACATATTATATAAAAAGAAAAGACATATACAAAAATATTATAACAAAAAAAAACAATTTTCAAATTAATATAACTTAAGAAATATAAATCTCAGAATAATAAATTTATATTTATTAAATAACCTTGGTTCTATACCTTATATTAATATAAAATTTATTACAAGTCAATTATAAAATTCTAGAAATATATTTATTTATTTAAAATTTCTATGTTGTAATATATATGTGATTTTTTTAAAATTTAAAATTTGTAATTTTTTTAAAAAAAATAAAAATAAATATAATAAAAAAAAATATATTCTAATTGTTTACTATATATTACTTTCTTGTATACCCTCCCTTTGCCTTCATCACATTTTTTACTCTTTTGACATTAACTCAATTAACTTAGTACAAACTTCAAGATTAATATCATTCTATACATTTTGAATTTATTTTTATAATTAATCTTTCTTTGTAACTTATACAGGAAGTTTTCTTAATTTCCTATTTATCTCATTTCACAAATTTTCAATAGGATTCAGATCTGGAGATTGAATAGGTCACTCAAGTTCCTTTATATTATTTTCATCAAACCATTCTTGAGTAAGTTTAATAGTATATTTGATTTCATTATCTTGTTGAAAAATAATATCTTCTTTATTTAAATTATATTATGTAAGTATTTTTAAAAAATCTTCTATAAGTATTCTTCTGTAAAGGTTACTATTCATCTTTTCATCTATCTTACAGAGGTTTCAAGTGCAGTAAAACATTCTTATATCATAATATTTCCTCTTCCAAATTTCACAGTTAGCTTTACATGGAAATTTTTTAAAGTTTTTCCTACTTTCTTCTAACAATATTCTTTTTCATCACTACTAAAAATATTGAATTTACTTTCATCTAACCAAATTACCTTACTTCAATCTGAAATTGTTCAATGGAGATGTTATTTCACAAAAGTAAATTGTTGATTTCAATGTATTTTTTTAAAATATGACTTCTTAATTTTGGTTCTTGTTATTAGACTATTTCTTCAAAGGTTTTGTGTATAGTTTCAGTGCTTATCTTTATATTTTCATCCCTTTTAAGTTGTTTTTTTTACTTGAATTACTGTGAATACTTCATTGGATATTATAAATTAAAGTATCTTCATTTATTATGCTAGTAATTAGATATGGGTTTTCGGATTTTAACCTATTTTCATTACTATCTATTTCTTTTAATTGTTTATATATTTTAGAGACAAAAGAGTAATAAACTCTTTTAACATGGGTTACAAAATAGATGGTGTTTTTTTCTTTAAGAAGTATAATTATTCTAGTTCATTTCTTAGCAGATATATTTTTCATAAAGGTTTTTTTTTATATAAATTATAATAAAGGATAATTAGCAAAAGATTTTTTTCTTATTATGGAAAGGGGGATTTTATTATTATTTTTATTATTAAAAAATTAAATAATTAATTTTTTAAAAAAGTCAATTAACATCAGATAATATAAGATATTAATCATGATAATTAATATATTAATATTAATTTAAATAAAATTAATATAAATATATAAAAATTTTTTATATTTTTTATTAAAATTAATGAAAAATATTATAACAAAATAATTTTTTTTTGTTGCAATACTTTTGTAAACCACTATAGAATCAAAATTGGGAGAACAATTAGTAATTAAAGCTTAAATGAATAAATAATTTTAAAATAATAATAATTCATTCAATTATAATTATATCCTTTTAATATAATATGTAATTAAATTTTTTCTTTGAAATTACTTAGTACTATTTTTAATATTCACTTATAATATAAAAAGTTTTATATGTAATAACATCAATGATTTTGTGTATTTCTGTAATTTGATAATTCTAGCTAGAATTATGGAAAATTTATAACAAAGAATTTTTATTAACATTTGTGAATATCTTTGCGAATATCAATGTTACAGGAATGAAACACATATCATCTTGTAGTTAAGAACAAGGGCTTTCTATCTGTCATAAAAAATATTTTAATATAAAATTACACCTGAATTAAAAAAAAATAAAAATTTTGTATATAATCTTTCATTTATCACATGATTTTTTGTGATATTATTATTAATTTTTGTACAATTTGCAAAGTAACGGATAGATATATAAAATTGTTGAAGTTATTACATATAATATTTTTTATATTATAAGTAAATATTAAGTAATCTCAAAGAAAAAAAATAGTTACATATTATATTAAAAATATAGATTTATATAATTAAAATTGAATTAAATATTATTATTTTAAAAGTTTTCATCTATTCAAGCTTTAACTACTAATATTTTTCTTAATTTTGATGATGTATGTCTCTTCTTTTATATAATACATAATTAATTACTGTCTTTAATATTACTTAATACTATTTTTTGATATTTATTTATAAATTAAAAAGTTTTATATGTAACAACTATTGATAATATTTCTGATCTCATATATAATTACATTAATGATATAATTGTACCATAATTGTGATATTGTGACAAATAGTTACAACTAGATATAGAGTTGTAACTAATTGCAACTCATGAAAATAATTGTGGCAAGTATCTTTAACAAGAATTAATATCAAAATACAATTTAAAAAATGTTTACAATGTTAATGAAACATATCTTTTTTTTTAGAATAATACCTAATCAAACTTTAGCTAATCAATTAAGAGCAGAAAAAAAATTAATAAGTAATTTAATAAAAGTATTAACTATCTTTTTATAATTATTAATTAATATTAATTAAATAATTAATTATTTATTTGAGGATAAATCTAGAATTATAGTTTTACTTATTACAAATGTTACTGGAATAAATAAATTAAAATCATTAATAATTGGTTATACAAAAAATTCTAGATGTTTTAAAAACATTAATGTTTCAAATTTACCAATAATATATAAATATAATAGCAAGACTTAAATATATAGTGATATCTGAAAGACATGATTAAAATATTATGATAAAAGGTTTCCAACTCAAAATCATTAAGTTCTTTTTCTAGTTAACAGTGTACTTTCTTATATCAATCCTATTACAAATGAAAATAATATTAATAAAAGTGACTCAAATACAAATTCAATTCAAAAATCATTAAAATCAAGCAATAAATTACAAAAGACATCACTAAAAAAAAATAAAAAGTAATTTGAAAACAATAAGTTACTTAATTTAACTAATATTACAATTCATTATCTTCTTCCTAATACAACATCTCATATTTAACCTTTTGATATAGGAATCATTAAAAGTTTTAAGGCAGAATATAAACATTATTATTGTTAACATGTATTGGATCAATTTGAACAAAATATTAACCATGAAAAGTAAGTAAATTTTATATAATTTATAATTTTAATTCTTTTTAAATTAATATATTTTTTTTTATTTAGAAACAAAATTAATGTAAAAGAAACAATTGAATATGTTACTCATGTATAAGATAATGTTACTATAACAACAATACAAAATTACTGGAAAAAAATATGAATTTTATCAGATTTAAATAGTGAATTTACTGAAGAACTATCTAAAGAAAATATTGAACTTATTAATCTTCTTTATGAGAAATTATTTGAAGAAAATACAGTGCATCAAAAATTAATTAATGAAATAGAAACTTATATTAATGCTGTTGATGAATCTCTTTTAACTAAAGATATTTTTTCTGAATTTGAAATAGTAAATAATGAAATTGAAAATAATTCATTACCAGATTCTAAAAAAGAAAAGCAAAAATTATCTTTACCTCCTGTTACTTCTAAAGAAGTATTAAATGTATTGAAAGTTTTAATCAGATATGAAGAACAAATATCTGATAATGATGATTATAATAAAATTTTATCTAATGATTTATCTAAAAGATTGTTATTATATGAGCAGAAATAAAAAACAAGTTTCACTTGAGCATATATAGATAAATTGATTTTAAACATTTGTAAATATTTCTTTATATTTTAATAAAAATAATATAAAATAATAAAATATTTTATTTTTAATTATTATATAAAATTTTTTTTATAATCACCACTTATGTATTAGTGATTATATAGAGATCAAATTTTTATAAACAATTTCTATAATCACCAAATATATGGTATGATTAGACTGTATTTTATTATTATTGTATTACAGGGTTAAAGAAAGTTAATATTTGGTTCATATAAAGTTATAGACACAAAATTTAAAGAAAGCTTATTTATTGTAAAAAATAAATGTTGTTACTTCTGTTTATTTTTATATTTATTAATTTATATATTTATATATTTTATTATCATATTCATATCTGTATTAT